CCCCCCCCCCCCCCCCAAAATAAATGCCACTTGGTTTCACATTTTATTATCTGAGAGTAGCTTAAGTGCCCAAATTCTCCTTAGAGCCACTGTACTGTGTCTATACTGACCATGACAGAGGAAGGTAGCTAACATTTCTAATAAGATTCATTAGATATAAATACAAATTGACACAAGATTAGCATTAATTGTTCATTAAGGATTTCTGCATGTCCAAACCCTTAACTTCGAACTCTTTTCATATGAGTCAAGGAATTGTGTGTGTCCCCTCAACAGAGAAGTAATCTCTATCCCAGAGCTGCATGATCAAAGCGTATAGATGGAAGGCTGACAGATATAGAGAACTGAAAGTCTTCCTGTGCGTGGAGCCAGAGGCAAGACTGCACTATCACCACGTCATCTACTGGCAGATGGATGCCACAGGGACACGACAAAGCTCAGATTCAGCAGTTCAAAGCCTAGACACCCTGAAAACAGCATGAACACTGATGGGAGGAATGATGACATTATGCTCCAAGTCAACAAAAGCAAGTGGAATGAGGCAACACACTGAAGCAAGACTATGAAGTAATGGATACTGAAAGAAATCAGTCAACTTCCGATTTCTAATTATGTTCCTTCGGGTCTTGGCATTTCAAAGTGCATCAGAAATTAACAGCCACTGCTGTGTAATGTAATTATGCGAAGACCTCATCTTCTCTAAAAGTATGTGGCTTTAATTAGAGCACAGGGTCTCTCGCCGAAGACGCGGACATACTGGTTGGACACATCCTTAATCTGTTTAGACAGATATTATCTCACTGTACAAAAAGCATTTTTTTTATGGAGCTTGGACCAGTCGCTCCGGAAGTGGGGATGTTCATCATAGCGCAATAAGAAGCTAATTATTTCTAGAAAAAGTATTATTTCTGAAGGAAAAAGGAGACCTAAAAAAGGGCACTTCTGTGTCAAAAGAATGAAGTGCAAAAGCACAATTTAATTTTATTTATTTATTTATGTATTTATTGCTCCAAAGTATGTGAAGCCATTAAAAATCACCTGATTGATTGAACAAGAGCTGCAAAAAGGCCTACAAATATGGGCTGCCAGATCGGCCAATGATGTCTCTTCAGCATTCAGTCTGGATAACAAGGAAGCTGCTCACACATGCACAAAACAGACAACAAATCAATAGACATTGACCGTCTTCAGTGACCCTCATGACCTACAAGACCATTTATTTGTTACGAAAGAGAGGCCCTAAACAGTCCATCACATCACGATGTTAAGAAAGACAGCTAGATTGTCAAAGACAACTAGACCTACAAGTGATGCAGGAATAAAAACAT